CCTTCTCAATTGATTTTTTTTTAATTTCAACTTTCAATATTGGATTGATTGAGAATCAGACTTGATTATTTATTTTATTTTTCTTTATTTGAGGTTATCCTGGCCTCATGACTCGAGACATGAATTTGGTCGATTAAATCGGGTTGACTCAGATCATTGGTATTTTATGTCTTTTTTTTATTTTTTTTTTCAATTTCATCCTATAATGTTGAATTGACTAGAAATTTAGGTTAATATTTTTTCTTATTTGTCTTCTATAGGGTTATTATTGAGTTGATTCGAGTAAATTCAAGTCAATTTAATATGTTGTTGTCTTAATATTTTTTTTTAAAATATCTTCATTATTTTTTATAGTCAAACTATTATTTTACCCCTCGTTTTTATTGTCTTTAGATATATAAAGTCGACTAAATCACTCTAACTCCCATAGTTTTTTCCTGCTAGAAAACATGTTAAATATATCTAAATATTTTTTTTACTTAAAAAAAAATTAATTCAACTCATAATGTAGCGCAGAAAATTATCTTAAGGTTGGCTAAAGGGAATATTTCTCTTAACATCATACATATCCTTGTAGATTTATGGTATTTCGAATTTAACTGGAACTATGAATATACAAATACGCTTAGCCTAGCAAATAATTACATTATAGCGTTATCTATTGAAAATGATTTGATTAAATGACTCTAATTTCATCAGTTATTAAGTAATGGGAAGGTCTGTTCTTGCTATGAAGTTCGTGGATTTTTGGGCTTTCCAATAAAAAAAAAAACCATTAGTGATATAATAAAGAAGAAAAAGAAACGATGGTGTCAAGATCAAATTACGGTGGTTAAAGCTAGCTATGCACTAATAAATCCAACTTTTACAAGAGTACTATTATTTAGACCATTACCCTACTTTAATCCACCAAACACAGAAATTTTATTCTTGTGAATTTGTAGCTTTTAAATCCGTATCAAATTTAAGGTAAAAGTTCAAAATGTTAGTTATATTAAAGTCTTAATTTAATTTTATATATGTATTATTAAAAAGATTTTAAAACTAATTATTTTTCTAATTGACTAGTAAATTAAAACTCCATAATCTTTTTAATAACTTTCTTTCTTCATGGATCATACTTGCAAACATGTATGAACATATAATAATATAATATAAAGACAATAACAAATAACACAATATTTTGACATAGTTAAAATTAGGTTTTCACAATGATGTTACTCATAACTCTAATAATAATATTTATTAAAGAGTTAATACAAAGTTAGAAAAGAGTCGACCCTCAAGGTTTTGCAATTCTTCAATCCTGAAAGGGTTTATAATATTTCTAATTTGGTCATTTGATTTTGTTTCTTGTTCTTTTTTATAATTTAACAATTAGTGATTTGTTAGAAAAAAAAAGTTACCAAATACTAAAAGAAAAAGTTATTCTTTAAGTAATCTTTACTCAAAACCTAAATGAGCTTAAAACATTATAGTGTAGATGTATTTATATTAGCATCACAAAGACTTGTGAGTTAAAGTGGCATTTTCTATGAAAAATGCAATTTCATGACATATAAATTAAGGCAGTGTGCGTATCATAAAAATATTAATAAACAAATAAAAGAAGAATTTGTAAAAGAACTTACTTGATACTAAAGAGATAAACGAATGAGAAATTCGTGATGATCAGTTAAGCACCTGTACAGATGATATAAATAGAATTAATCTAATGAATTATGTATATAAATATATTTATGGTCTCTATAAAAATTTTATTTTTATAGAATAAAAAGAAAAGTCTTCAAAAAGAGTAAATAATTAATTGAGTCAAGGACCCTCTGTCCCACTTGCAAGGGTCAAACCCGAGCTAGCATCTAGCATATGAAAGCTAAAATAGATTCCTTACTTCAAATTTGATTTGACCACGAAGGCCAAAGCCAAAAATATTCAAATTAAAAAGGATTCTGTATTTCAAATTTGATCTACTTTCATTTTTTTCTTCTTCTTATATTAACATGCAAGGCTTTAGGCTTCGTGAATGGATGAGCAAAACAAATATCAACATATATAAAACATATTTATAGCAAAAAGAAATTAACCTTTCAAATCAAACATAAAATTTATAATAATAATAATAATAATAATAATAATAATAATAATAATAAGTTGCAACTTGAGTAAAATAACTTCAGCCTATAAGTGTGTTTGATATACCGGATATAAGTAAACTAAACAAGACGTAATAAACAATTATTCTATCTGTATTTGTAGATAAATAAATACACAAATAGATAGACAAATAAAGAGATAAAGAGATAAATTATTGTGTTCTAGAATAATTCATTAAAATATTTGAATTAATATTTATTTCACGATCAAGATTCTTGTATAATATTTCATATATTGTTAAAAAATACTACACTCTATTTTGCATTAACTAAGGAATTTATAAGACTTTTATTTCTCATAGCTCATAGACTAACCATACAATTGAATAATTAACATGCATATACTAAAAGGTCTTGGGTAAAATGCTTTGGCCTTTTTTAATTTAATCCTCAAGTCTTTTTAAAAAAAAAATTGAACTTTTTTTCTCAATTTCATAATTCAATGTTAGGTTTAATAGATATTAGACTTCATAATTTATTTCAATTTACTTCTTCTAGTCTCATTACCCGGGTTTGGTAAGTTAATCTACGTTGACTCGAGTTGTTTTTGTTTTTTTTAGTTGATTTTTTTTATTTTCATCCTTCAATGATAAGTTGATTGAGAATTGGATTTCATATTCATTTATTTTTCTATATGAGATTATCATGGTTTAATAACTCAAGTTGTAAGTTTTACATGTTAGCTAAGTTAACTTGGGTTTTTTTTGTTCTTTTATTAATTGAATATTTTGAAAAATTGAGTTTGAAACACAATTTTTGTGAAACAGGAGTGTGTTTGGTATTGTGGTAGTTGTTATGGTTGTGGTTTGAAAAAAGTTATTTTATAAAAAATACTTTTATTTGAGGTTGATTTGGTATTTATGTATATTTGGTTAAAACTATGGTTGAAATTGAGGTTGAACAAAAAGTGATTTAATGTGTTTGGTTAAGTACATGCTTTTAAAATTGAGGTTATAAAATAATTTTAAAAAATATAGATTAATATTGATGGTTTTTAATTTAAATAATACTTTGTATAAAATATTTTTTATTATTTCATTAAACTATCTACAATTCCATCATATATGAAATACACTCAACAAGGACTATAATTTTTTTGATTTTTTAAACGCGCAATAACATCAGGTAAAATATAATTAGGAATAAAATTGGGATTACGATCAAATTCTGTAAATGTTATGTCATCAAGCGATCTTTATCTAATTTATATAGTGTTATTGAATGATGTTAAACATTAGTTTTTTAAATAAAATACAATTAAAAAAATTATTTTTTATTTTACTGAATCGAACCCGTTTTAATATATTTTAAGTTTTGAACTAGAACCAATTCGGCCAAAACAATGGAGCTGGCTACAGTGTTCATGCTAATTAATTAACATGATGAGCACATGAAGCAGCAGAGAGGCAGGAACGTGACGAGAGAAGCATGTAATTTTTGCTTGAACAAAACAACATTTTCAACGTAGATAATGATAGGGTCCACGCATAAAAATCACGGATGATTTCATAATCAAACACTATGTTACCACTATCACATAATAACCGTAGTCACAGACGCTTAGCCAAACGGCTCTTTACATGCTTTTGTAACTAACTTTCATAAAACCTTTGTTTTTTTATTTTAAAAGTGTTTTTAAAAAAAATTTAAATTTTTTTTATTTTTTATTTTCTTCAAATTACTATGTTTTTTGTTTTCAAATTTTTTTAATGTGCTGATATTAAAAATAATTTTTAAAAAATAAAAAAAAATATTATTTTAATATATTTTCAAATAAAAAACATTTTAAAAAGCAACCACACATCCATCAAATATTTTATACATGTTTTTTATTATATATAAACTTCAACCATAATTTTTACTAAACACATATTTAAATTAAGCTAACCACATCGTATTTTTCTAAAACTTACTTTAAATCACTTTGCTTAACCCCTAGATGTTTTTTTTTTACTAGCTAGAAAACATGTTAAGTACATTTAGATATTTAAAAAAAAAATTAATTCAACTCGCAGCGTCGTGTAAGAAATTATCTAGTGTTGGCTAAAAGGGGATATTTCTCTTAATGTACAAATACGCTTAGCCTAGCAAATAATTACATAATAGCTTTATCTATTGAAGACGATTTGATTAAAATGACTCTAATTTCCTCAATTATTAAGTAATGGGAAGGTCTGTTATTACTGTGAAGTTCGGGGATTTTTGGGCTTTCCAATAAAAAAACCATAAGTGATAGAATAACAGTAAAAAAAAAAAACCAAATTATGGTGGTGAAAGCTAGCCATGCACTATTAAATCCAAACATTATAGTTAGTTAGAATGTTCTTCATTTTTATTTTCACTATAATAGAAAGATGAGGTTGAAAATTGAATTGGAGATTAACTTTTACAAGAGTAATATTATTTAGACCACTACCCTACTTTAAATTTTAGTCTTGTGAATTTGTAGATTTTACATCCATATCAAATTTAAGGTAAAAGTTCAAAATGTTAGATATCAAGATTAAAGTCTTAATTTAATTATTTTATACATGTATTATTAAGCAGATCTTAAAACTAATTAGTTTTCTAATTGACTAATAAATTAAAACACCATAATCTTTTTAATAATGGGTATTTAACAATGAGATAGACTTCGATAAAAACTTGCATACAGAAATTGAGTGAGTCTGGTAGGAGAAAATGCGGATTAAATTGAACAAATATTTCACATAATAATATAATATAAAGACACTAACAAATAACACAAGAATTAGTGGAAATACACACCTTGTAGTAGAGACGTGAACGAACGGAAGATTCACGATCACTTAGACACCCACAACCTCTCTATCAATCGATTGCAGCCACAAATATAATCCTTAATGTATGTAGTGTTACTATAATTGTGATCTCTCAAGTTTTTTTTTTTTTTTTTTGAAAATGGTGATTAGGGGAGAAAAACGAAAGGAGCTGAAAAGAAGACAACAATTAATTAAATGAAGAACACTCTCTGCCACTTCCAAGGATGAAACTCGAGCTATATGATTGTCCCTATATCCCACTCAAGGAATATGATTCGCCCATAAAGAAAAAGAAAAGAAAAAAGAAGGGATTCCTTGCTTTAAATTTGGTTCACTTATGGAGTAAGCTAAAGACATCAACTTTTGCAGGCTAAAGAGAGATTCTCATTTCAATTATTTTATTTTTTTGGGGTGCATGCAGGCCAATAGCTTCATGAGTAAGCGAAGACATTACTGCTGCATGTACAAAACCAATTTAAGGCATGTTAAGATGCCATAAAGCCTTCAATTTTCTATATTACCGTATACAGTTTTAGATACTAGATGATAATAATAACAACTTTTATATATATATATATATAATGAAAGTATTATAAGCGGGTTTGGGGCTGCTATTCAATCTATTTTTAATGAATTTTTTTTAAAAAAATTCAAATTATTTTTTTAAATTGTTTTAATGTTTTTATTTAAAAAAATTTAAAAATATATTTAAAAAATAATATTAACTATATTTCTAGATAGACCCAAATTAAATAGGACTCAGCTTGGCTGAGTCAACAAAGTGACTAGTGAGCCCATTAATTAAATGGTTTTTTCCTAGAACATAAGGTTTAAAATTTTAGTATAAACCATATAAAATATTTTTTATATGCAAACGAATCTACGGCCTGTAATTTTGCATGCAGCTCGAGAGGTGTATTTGAGAAATCATGATATGGTATAAAATACAGATGAAATAAGAAAATTAAAAGCACACAAATTAATCAGACGTCTGCCCCTATATTATGGAAGTGAAATAATTTTGATCGTTTTACTATTTATATATAATAAATTGTTTGGTAATTTAATTATGTTATCGTAATTGTGGATGTATTAATTGTTAATTATAATTATTTCTGCATACTTTGTTTCTATTGGGTTTAAACAAAAATAGTAATATATTTCATATTCATTAAAATGCATAACAGTTGCTTAGAAAAAAAGATAGGTTTTATCAACAAAAAAATCAAACATATAAACTCTTTTGACATATTTTGTTTGACATAAAAAATATCAAGTATAAATTAAAAACTTTATATACACATCTAATTAAATATATTAAGAATGATCTATATCAACAAATAAAAAAAATCATTAACAATAAATATCTAAAAAATTTAAGAGACGGATGTAAATTACGATATTTAATTTCACAATATGGTTAATTTATCTAATTATGTTTAATGCTTTTGGTTATTAAAATTAATTTTTTATTTAATCAAATGATTGTAGAAATAGACACACATAAAATTGATTGTATCAAATTAAAAAAAAAATATCTTGCAAGGTTGCACTTATTAAAAATATTATCAAAAAATAAATATTTTTATTCTTAAAAATAAAGATAAATTTTATAAAACATAAAAAAATTATGAATGAGTTAGAAAAATCTCTTTAAAAAGTAAATACTTAAAAAACAAGAAAATTAAAAAGGCTAAAAGAAAAAAAAATCAAAGAGAAGAAGCATTAATACTTGGTATTAAAACTATTTCTTAGAAAAGCGTGGAGTTTTCTAAGAATTTTAAGAAGGGCCGATTGCCTGATATTGAGACCATTTCTTAGAAAAGCGTGAAGTTTTCTAAGAATCTTAAGATGGTCAAGTCACCCGATTTTGAGACCATTTCTTAGAAAAGCGTGGAGTTTTCTAAGAATCTTAAGGTGGGCAGGTCACCCGATATTGAGACCATTCCTTAGAAAAAAGCGTGAAGCTTTCTAAAGAATTTTAAGAGGGGCCAGTTACCTGATATTGAAACTGTTTCTTAGAAAAGCGCGGAGTTTTCTAAGAATTTTAAGAGAGACCGGTCACCTAATATTGAAACTGTTTCTTAGAAAAAGCATGGAGTTTTTCCAAGAATATTAAGAAGGGTCAGTCACCCAATATTAAGACTATTTCTTAGTGAAGTGTGGAGTTTTTTTAAGAATTTTAGGTTGAGCAGGTCCCTCGATAATTGGACCATTTCTAAAAATAAAAAAAAAACATGGAGTTTTCTAGATAGGCAGGTCACCTAATAGCAAAACCATTGTTTAGGAAAAGCATTGAGTTTTAGCATGATCAGACAATTTATCTTTACAACACTTACTACGCGAAGCACTTAACAAGTTTTGCTTCGTAAGCATTGTAAAGAGGGGGCATCTGTTGTTACTCAATTTTGGACCCCACGTGCTAGAGATGGTGTCTACCCGTTTTGAACCAAGTGTAGGAGTGTAGCTCACGTTTGCTAGAAAATTGACAAAAATGGAGGAGAAAGAAAGATTTTTTTCAAACCCTGTTTCAGCCATCTCCTGCTCTCTTTATCCTTCCCCACTGCTATCGAAATTGTCAGGATTCTTAAGCTAATTAGGATTCCTTATAATGGTAAATTCATTCCTCTTTTACATGGGCTATAAGGTTGAAATAAATTCCTTGAAAGTGGCACTAGAAAAACCTAGTTCTACTACTGCCGCAAATTTTTTTTGTTTTGTTCCAACTTAGACCCTGATTCTGACTTAGGTTCGTGCAATATCTGACCATCCCAACCATATTCTATCACTCATGACATGTTGAAGAATGGACCTACACCTTGATTGGGTCCTAGGGCTCATTGTTCTTATGGCAGGCTCTCAGTCGAGGATGCTTGGCATTGTCAGTTTCCTGAATTTAGATCGGGAGACCCTTTTTGACCAACCAGATTGTGGCCTGATTCTATCATATCTCGCCTTGACTCCCCATGAAAGCCATATTACTAGATGCATAGATGAATTTGGGCTTTCGAATCAATGGATTTCGATATCAAAAGCTTAAGCTCTGCACGTTTAAATATCTGACGTGAAAATAGAGAATTCTGCCGCAAGCAGGATTCTAACCCAAGTTTTGCACCGAAAAAATTCTACTGCCATCATGATTTTTCTGGGTCATTCTTAGGGTACTCCCAGTCATATCGGGATGCTCGGTATTTATCAGTTTTTGAATCAGATCAGGAGACCCTTTTTGACCGACGAGATCGCGGCCCGATTCTGTCCTATAAAATGATTATATCTCGCCCTAAATCCCTATCAAAGTTGTAATCCTACATGCATAGATGAATTTTGGCTTTTGAATCGATGGATTTTGATATCAGAAGCTCAAGCTCTGCACGTTTAAATATCTGACGTGAAAAATAGAGAATTCTGCCGTGAGCAGGATTCTAACCCAAGTTTTGCAGCGAAAAAAATTCTACTGCCATCATGATTTTTCTGGGTCATTCTTAGGGTACTCCCAGTCATATCGGGATGCTCGGCATTTGTCAGTTTTTGAATCAGATCAGGAGACCCTTTTTGAAAAGTGTTAAAATGAGGGATTTAATTGAAGAAGGATATGGAAAGTTGGAGAGGGGGCCTGGATCATCATAAATGGAAGGATTTGTACCACACCGAATAAGGAAGATAAGACTTTGCAGCTGCACCCTCCATCTGATTTCTTTCCCTTTTTCTCTGTTGTTTTCCTTTCTCATCATGTCTGATTGTTAGAGCTGAAAACCACGTTTTTGTTGCCTCATTTCAAAGGTAGCAGCTGGCTCTAAGGAAGGAAATAAAAGAACCACACCATCCTCCAAAACTGGAAAGAAATCAGACGTAAAGCACCACCATAAAATCAGAATTTGCAGTTTCCTTTTGCGTTTTTTTTAAGCCCCACCATAAAATCAGAATTTGCAGTTTCCTTTTGCGTTTTTTTTTTACTGCAAATCAGTAGGGATTTGCGTCCTAGGATTAATGCATTGAATCCTTCCTAAATAGATATAGGTTAGACTATATATAAGCCCCTCTAATGACCTAGGGCAAGAGGAGAAAAAGAGAGAGAAAGGGGACGAAAAGAAAAAAAAAAAAGGGGGAGGAGAATAGAGGAAAAAGAGCAGCAAAGGAGAGGAGGCAAAAAAAAACGATAGGCAGGGAGTTAGTAAAAAAAAACGCACGTAACAGGGGAACAGAGGGGTTTTGTTCTTTGATCCATAGAGCCTTTGTTTCCTATACATCCTTTCATCACTGTGAAAGAAACAAAAGAGAGGAGAAAGGAGAGGCAGGCGACGGGGAAACCAATTATTTCATTTGTTTCAGCATCTCTATTTTCGTCTGTCATTTACCAGCAGCCAAGGAGGCGATGGTATTCAAGGAAGCACGCTAAACCATTTTAGCGAAAACCTGCAGGTATTTGTTTTGATGTTAAAAAAAAAGAACTCTTTTATCTTTTGGCTAAACCATTTCAGCGAAGACCTGCAGGTATTTCACTTTCATTTTCTATTTCCTTTTTGCCATACAATGAATGTCAGCTTTTGTTTCTTCCCATGGCTGTGAGTGTAGATTTTATTTTTTGTGTTAGAATTGCAGTTTCTTTGTTTCATTTAGTGCATAAGGAACCGGGAGAGGAGGGGCTGTCATCAACCCCCTTTTTAGCTCAGATGTTTTCCTTTTCTGCTTCATATTCTGGCGGGGAAGGAAATTGAAATTTGCGGGGAAACCTTCTGCAATTGCAGTAAGGTTTTGGGTGGATTCTAAAGGGCGGCGTTCATTTCTTTTGTGCTGTTAAAAGACAGCATTTTGTGTTACTGTTCAAGTGAATTATAATTCACTTGAACAGTAACAAAATTTAATCTTTTGGGTTTAAGAAAGAACCGAATTTTAGTTTTGAGGGACCATATTTGTTTTGTTATATTTTATTCATTTTTTTTGCAGAATTTTGAGAATATATATATATATATATATATATATATATATATGTGTGTGTGTGTGTGTGTGTGTGTGTGTGTGTGTGCACAATTTGTGGTCTTTAATTGTGATTAACTGTGATGTTTATGTTTCGATAAAAAAAATAAAAATATATATTTCTTGTGTGCTGCATACGGCCAATACCCTAACATGTTTTGAACGTTTTTTTTTATACAAAAAATATTGGAAGTTTTGAAAAATGTGTTTTCGCATGGATTTCTTAAACACAACGAAAATTGTTTTCTTGCATTTCTGGATTTTACAACATGTTTGTAAAACTCCAAAGGGTATTGGCCAATATTTCAAAA